CCTCTGATGGTTGATTTTTTTGGGCCCGTTACAACATTTATTTCCGATAATCAAAGATTCTTAAAGCCGGGGAGGGTTTTGAATTCAGCAGGAAAGAGTGGGGGTGATGAATTTATTACATTCAAACTACAAACAAGTGATTCTGACTCCACTAGACAAGCACTTTCCAGGAGTGATATTACAAACTACCAGGTGTCTTGCAGTATATGCGCTATTACATTAATTACAAAGAAAAACCTAAAGACCTTTTTGATGCAAGGCTATATACACTATTATATATACATCAATTACAGAAAAAAACTTACAGACCTAGTTGATGCACGACTATCAGATACGAAAAACCACATAAAAACCACCCTGGGAAAACCGCGGATACGTATCCCCCGACCTCATGCAGACTTGCAGAGCAACTAGCACTCTCCGAGGGTTAGAGAGCGTTACATGATAACAAAACTCTGAGCAGTATCTTGGGCAAAAATTACATTCGATCATCTCTCTTACTATCTTTTTTCATTAAAACTAATTAATATAAAAAACGAAGCTGTGTTTCAGCCTGACTAGCCTAGATGACCAGAACCTTGTTCCACGTGCCCTAATATACTAACTACCCATGAACCTTTGCTCATACCCATGCCTCTTTCGACGTGCCGGCAGAATATCAATTTCTGACAGCATCGCTCCTTCGTCGCTGATTGTCAGAAATTCCATATTAGGAAACTTCAGATTTGGCAACGAGTACGAGATTGAGTACGAGTACGAATTTTCAATTTTGTTGTGTTGTCCATACCGGATTTCAATCCACTTAATGTTTTTATTTCTTTGATGTTTCAATCTATTCGCAGGAATGCAATCCATGATTAATAGCATACTTAAGGCGAATTTTAAAACTCGTAGTCAATCTCGTACTCGTTGTGACCTCCTGTCACATCTCGGTGAACATAATAATGACCTGTGTGCAATTTAAGCTAAAAAAGGCTTTTACAAACAAAAACATGCAGAAACAACAAAACAATAAATTGGCTAAGAACGTCCATCAGGTTTTCATCTTGCTTGATATCCAACAATTCTGTCGTGTTTTTCACTATAGTATTTCAGAAACCATAGACTTCTCATCTATTCTTCGTTTGCACGTTACGTCATAGATCCAAAAAAAATTAATTCAAACTTAATTTCCCATGAAANAAAAAAGGCAGTTTTTGTTCCTTGAAAACTTTATAGCTTCAAGCCAGCGTCTTTGTGTCCATTGTAGCTTGCGTCACATCCGGACAAACGACGGTTAAGTCCGACGTCGTTTGTCCAGATGTGACGCAGGGTATATTTTTGTCTTTTGTAATAAATTCATGTCCCTGAATTGTATGTTCTTCTATTTTAGGGGAGTGTTCTGAATTTTTTTCTGACAGAAGGGTTCCAAGAGAAGCATGGTCTTCAAATCACTCTTTGGGCAGGTACTTGACAATTTTTTAATTTAAAACAATCTTGACAATCTTGAGAGAAACGACAGCTTTTTGAAAGCGTTTGTTCTATACACCCTTTTAATAAGTCCCGAGGTATTGTGTTCTCCGCACTTGACGTCAAATTTATTCTTTTGAAATTTTTACAATACAAAAGGAATKGAAAAGAATAAATTTGACGTCAAGTGCGGAGAACGTAATACCTCGGGACTTATTAAAAGGGTGTATAAGTGTGCCATTCTGTGAATGTCTTGAATGATGGCAAACTAGCAAATATTAAAATACATTAAAAGTAGGGGTAGAAAAAAGATAAAGCTGATTGCTAACTTATGCACTTAAACTTGGACTCATGCATCTTTAACTTCTACATGTACTTGAAAACCAAASCACAACACAATAGAGAGTTTTAGATACGCATTTACGGCGAACGCCAAACGTCAAAACCGATCACGTGATTACTGTTTTCCTGTATTAACGCTGCGTTTTTTCGCGAKTGTGTATAAAAGAGATCACTTTTTCGTGCATAAGCGCATCACTATTCCTTTCAAAGCGTTTTTACGTTTCTTTGACATTTTGAGGCAAAGCATAAAAGCCAATTTRCCGTTTGCCGTTTGCAGTAAACGTGAATCTAAAACTCTCTAATGTGTCTGTAACGAGTTCACAAATTAACACACGGACCATTCGCTCTTGTACACTTTACTTCAACTGACCTCCGAGATCACWATTCTTGAATATTTGTGTAGTGTTTACATAACTTACAGTTACATTACATCCCAAGGGATGTATTACATACTATACGTTACACTACCCCCTTCTTAAGGATTTTCTCTGAAAATAACTGTATCATTGAATATGCAACATAAATTATGAATTAAATACATGTGTTAAATTGAATACTATCCTGTTGTACAATAATCAAGTGTTCGTCTATTCATATTAATTTAATTAACAATGTTCAATGTAACAGTTCAGTTTAATCTGCTCCAACGTTATCTGCTCCTTTGATGACTTGTATGCGGAACTTGTAGCTCTGTAAGTACAGTGCCCAACGCAATACTCTGTTGTTAGTGAACTTGGCCTTGTCCAAGTACACTAACGATTGGTAATCTGTTTGAAGAATAAACTCCTTGCCATAGAGATACATCATGAACTTCTTGACGGCCCAAATTACAGCTAAACATTCTTTCTCCACTGTAGCATAGGCCTTTTCTCTCTTTGACAATTTCTTGCTAGCGAAGCTAACAGGGAAAAGTTGATTGTCGTGTTCTTGCATCAGCACTGCACCAATTCCAAGGTCCGATGCGTCAGTTCGCNGGCCGCTCATGTTGTAAACTATACTTATAAACTTGCAACAAAAGCTCGGTTCGACTCAAAATTTCACAGAACTACAGAATTTTAATACGTTTATTATGTGAAAGTGCCGAAATTTTATCTTTGATTTTAAAACTCTCTAAAAATGTTGGTGCCGTAAAAGCGTATAAACATGATCTCGCCTCCATACATTTCCTTCTAAAAAATTAGCGTATAAAATTGATTATATCTTGGCAAATAAAACTCCTTTCGGCGAAAACATTCTCAGGGATACAGAGTTTTACTCGCTCTTTCACATGGATTACTTGTATTTTGTTTATGACTAATTTTACGGAAAAAGTTTTTTTCCATGACGTACCTGCAAACGAAGAATAGGCCAGCTATTTCGCCAAATTGCCCAACTTTGGTATTGCTTACTCTTTTAATAATATACATAAAAAAATTACTCAATTCTGATTGGCTGATAGCATCTCAATTAATTCTTAATTCAGTGCAATTACATTTCTGCAGTGCAATTACAACAGATTGAACAGTGCAAAAAGCTGTAATATCCAGGCGGTGTTGGTCACAGCGCGAAAAGGATCCTTTTGTCTGCATCTTTTTCATCTTTGTCTGAACTTTTCCCTTGTTTTCGCAGACCATATTGCTCTTGAACGTCCTTCGCTACATTGCTCATATAGTAAAGTATGTTTTCTATCGAATTTAAAAATGGTTGTTCAGCAAAAGGTGTAAAATTCTCGTAAATGCGAACTTTCAATTCGTTCGCCTCCATCGACTACATAACTTTTTCCTTTTTCTTGTCCGCTCTTGAAGTAGATCAACGAGGACCAATCAGGTGCCGTGTAATACGTGCGCGCGTTGTGATTGGTTGTCTAAAAATAGATTATCGGGACATCTGATGGTGGCGATATTATTGGGGAGATGGACACTTCTGGTTATGTACTTCTGACCTTGACTATAAGAGAGGTGACGCTCGCGTCAAAAGTTGTTCAAGGTCAAAATTTTGGCGGGAAACCTCGRCCGCAAGAAATTTAATTTGACTGTGTTTTTTGTTCAAATTCTTTATTATTATGCCTTGTACAGACGCTTTTATATTCTTTWAACTTCCCACAAACATGGTACAAACACATATTGAAATATAAGCCATGATAAATATCGAAAAAAATAAGTAAATTGAGAGCATAATTTCTACGAAGAATCAAAATTCGCTAACTTTAGTTGCTTCAAAAATGAATAAATACTGCTGCGCCATCGTGCGCCATGCAACCAGGACATTAAGAATTTATTTCTCGTTTTACATTGTTAATATCAAGACAATTGATTAAATATTTCAATCACAATTATGAAAAACGTCTGGCAATGTCAAAATGTCAATGTCAATGTCGCTATGAAGCGACAATATATGCGGAAAATATTACAACATCCACAAAAGTATAAAATATACTACCGATTTCTTGTGTTCTTTGTCAAACAGCGCTTCACAATTCGTCTAAAAACGCATTTTTGTACACACATATCGAGTCCTGGGCCGTCGCCAACTCCGCTTTTGAGATTCCCACCAAATTCGAAATGGCACAACATGATTGGTCAAAATTAAAACCCAGGATCCTTTTCGCGCTGTGTCCAACACCGCCTTGTAATCTCAGTGCAATTACAATCAAATTTGCGCTTTTGATTGGCTAAGAAACAAAAGAAATGTTTTCAGCCAATAAGAATCAAGCTTTCTTTGTAACTGAAAACTTTTCTCAAGAATCCAAGATGGCGGACACTTCGCCGATAACAGAGAAAAAAGTACTCAAAAACTATCAACAACTGCCTAAAAGAAATAACAAAAGCTTTCTCACTGAAGAATAGCCGACTTGCGAATTACGCATCAATAGTCACATACAAAGGAATCAAGACGAAGCGCCGTGCTTTTTTGTGAAAAATCTATTGTCTTTAGCACGGCGCCTCGTCTTGATTCCTTTGTATGTGACTATTGATGCGTAATTCGCAAGTCGGCTATTGGACTAGGATTTTGTATTTGTGAAGTTTCAAGCTTGCTAGTTATATATGCTAGAAAATAGTCTCGCCTTCCTCACACGTCCATGCTCGATGAAATTCAGTACAGTTTCAACGTGAAACCAGCTCAAATACTGGCTTTTTTCCACATTAGCCAGCAAAAGGTATTTTTCTGTTTAATTAACAATGTTTTTACTGTTCAAATTCAAATAAATTGCTTTAAAATGGAGTAAATCATCAATCATCAATAATCAATTAATTAGTTTTGAAATTAAACTTTGTTTTGCTTCAATTTTTTGAATTCTTTTGTTCAAAAGAAAGGCTTATATGTTATAAACTGGTGTTTTTTTTGCTAGCTTTAATAGTAAGACAAGTGTAATAATTGTTTGTCAAGATGAAAATAAAAAGACTTAGTTTGCTTTGATGATATTTTGCTTACATGTTGTTTTTATCGTTGGCTCCTTGTCTAGCCTTGTCAGTTTTGGCTTCAATTTTTTCATGTATATTATTTTAATAGGTAATATGGCCTCACGCAATTATGGCCTCTTTGAAAAACAAACTCGTGCAAATTAATTCCAAATTGAACTCGAAACCATCTTATTACCTATACGTATTGATTGAAATCGATGCCTCTGCTAGTTCTACTAAATTCCTCTCTTGCATTATTGAAGCTACTTTGCTGTGTGAGACTCCTCGACTTTCTTGTCTCCAACAATAGATAAAAAAGTCATTCAAATTACGTGGGCTTCCTTTGGAAGTCCACGTCTAAAAATGTAACTGGCGTTTTCGTCGTGGTGGTGAATATTACGCTTCAAATTGGTAGCGCAGCGATAGCGCATGCGTTGCAGTCTCAGTTTCCATGGAGATGTCAAAATAAACCAATCAGCGATTTTTGGTAGCGCCTGCCTTGCAGATGGACTCAGAATGAAAACAAAATGGCTGACAGACGGCGGCAAAAAGTTGTCTCGTTTCAAATGGTTCTAAAATGTAGCTAAAATGCTCTAAAGAGCTGAAAATCTTACAAAATCAACTGATTACGATCCAAACGACATGGATTGAGGTATATAATTCAAGATTAGCGGATGATTCGTGCAGAAATGACTGGGCATTTTCTACCGCCGACTCGAAGAGCAGTACTTCTTCGTCACACAAGTGTTCGATGTCAAAAACAAAATCTTCAAAAATAAGAAATCACATGGATATTTAAGGTTCATACTTTGACAGAAAACAATTATTCGATGGAATAAAGCATATCAAACCTCATCTGAAAAATATTGATGCCATTTTCTAAACTAACGATGTGTTTGAAGTTCGGAAAACTGCACGTGTGAGCTTTACTGAACTCTGTATACAAAATCTATATTGTGTATGAAGCA